ATTGTGCCCTCTTAGTAAGGTTAGTCAAGAATACGGGTACATACAAGTGAGTAAGGAAAACAAGTAGGATGCTTGTATGGAAACATTGTCGATCATGGCGGCTCTGTTCAGATATTTCTTCGTGGCTATGGAAGCTGAGGAAGACCCAAAAACAGCATCTACCTTTGTGTTTCTCCGAGGAGGTTTGGGTTTCAGCAGCATCGGAGGGGCAATGGCGCAGGGACCATGCTTCATTTCAACGACTACGGACAAGCCTGAGTTGAACCCGTGAGGACCTGGATCATCTTCGATCATTCCTTTACCATAATTCTCCCAGATATTCATGGACGCAGAAGGCCAACAGCATTTGGGTGGACGCCCCGGGACCTACTGGCTTCAGCGAAGGACCAATTGAGCCAGACCTGAACGCGGTGGTGAATAATTTGTGAGTTACTCCTTGTGGGACGTCCTTAGGCAACTGATTTGGAGCACGAATGTCCCGATGTTCTTTCATTGCGAGTTCCAGAGGACTTCTTAGCATTGATCAATCGTGATTCCTTGCAGGATCGAATTCGTGACGCAGTTCTTCAAGGACCATCCAAACTTCAACACGAAGGTGTACATAGTCGGTCTCTCTGCTGCTGGTACGAGGGTAACCCTCGGAGGATTCGTTACGCCTCCTGAATCAGGAATCCTGAGATATGCCAACGACTCGGTGAGACCGAAATGTTCCATCTCGTTTGTAGGTTCTATCGCTGCCATGCTGGGTACTGCCATCATTCGTCAAGATCTCGGGATTCACCTTGAAGGCGTCATGCTGGGCTCTTCTGTCATAGATCCAGGGGCTACGTAGGTGCAACTTTCCTATGAGAACTGGGCAGGTGTGCGTTTTCAGTGCTAGAGGATGTATAACAGTGCTGGAACAGAGAGATTTTCTACCTCATTGGAAGTTCGATGAATTGCCATAGGAATTCAACATATCCTTGTTTCTCTTCAGAATCCATGATATGAGAGAAGATTTGGTGCAGTGTGAAGAGCTGATTTCTAAATGCAATAACGGAGTTGTTTCTCCTGTTGGTAGGGCAGGAGTTGGGAATGTAAATTGTGTCTCTTTCCATCCGGCAGTGCGGGTCTGGCATTGCGCCGACAGCGCGTTTCACTATGATGTGCCGCTTAGACCCCTGCGAGAAAGCCGTGAAGGAATGCAACACAAACCTCATTACTCCCGTTTCAGCGTTTGGGAAAAGCACGTAAGCACCACGGAGTACAAATGGCCTATATCGCTCAAACATCGTCTAACACTCTGTGTCTGCTAGTGTTATCTCGGCTTTGGACAGCAGAGTCAATGCCCTCAGATACGATCTGCGGGTATCCCCAGGAGACGAAGACGAATATTTCGAACTACTTATTGGCGATGTAAGAGACAACAACTGTGGTTAGATCACTACTAATATCTCGAGCACCAGTGCAAACTCTTGATATCATAATATACGACATCCAGTTCTCGAGCTCCGGCTTACGTTTCTTAAAGTCCCTGACCGGGACTATCGAAACCCGACTCGAACCAAGTATCAGATTGTTTTCAACTCTAGGTCGCTAAATTCCTCAACAAGCCAGAAGTTAAGGCGAAGTTAGGTGTCACGAAAAAATATGAAGACTTGAATATTAAAGTGAGTCCCAATTTCGTGTGTGGATAAGGATATATGGCCTTTACTAGGTTATGAGGGCCTTCTCGAAGTACGGCGCTTATGATAGAACTGAGTTCATCAATCCTCTCCTCGATGATGGTCTGAAAGTGAGAAGCTCTCCCAATCAAGCTTTGGTCATGACGAGATATATCTGGGCTAGAAATCGTTGTGAGCGGCCCATCTGAGTCTCAGAGATCACGTAGAACAGTGATCTTCGGAGTATAGTTCAATGCTTCGAATGTAAACGTCTCGAACGTTGATCGGCGCTAGCTCTTTCCCTCGAAATCTAGTAGAATATGATTGGCAGCGAATCGATCGTCACTGCCTGCACTTTGCCAGGTGCTGGTTGTAAATGGCGATCAAGACTACGTCACTAATGCCATCGGAGCATTAAATTGGATGGTCACCTTGAAAGGAATGTTCAACTACGGAGATATTCTGCAGCAAACTCCGTTCAAACCCCTCGAGGTATCGTCTATCTACTTTTCCGAAGTGTTACTCATCGCCGGCTGGATGTTCAGTACGAGTCTGGCGTATTGGGAAAGATCAAATCTTCACAATATCCAAATGGGGCGAAGCTGGCATTCATTGAGGTGAGCTCAAACGGAGTGTATTATGAACAGCCGGAGAATTACAGATTTTAATTCACATCTCTTGTTGCCTGCTTTGTATGTGAATGTTTTCGTGATGCAGAACATAATAGCAAGTATCATGGAGCTGCTCATCAAGAAACTATGCTCGAAGCTAGCTCATTCATTCAGGTCAACGAGGCGGGGCATTTCTTCCAACTCAACCAGCCAAAGGGGATACAGGCAGCATTTGAGGCCTTCTTGTCTGGAGAAATCTAAGAAAGCTCAACTCTGGCCTCTTCGTCCCTACCTTTCCGTAGAAGGAATATCCCACAGGAGAGGCGCCTCATAATGTTTCAACATAAGTTGAGAAGGAATCATAGCCCCGATTCAGTCAGGCTGATTTATTTGTTTTTTTTCATTTTTCGTCGTGAATAATGTTATCATGATCGTGCTACCATCAGTTCTGTGTATACCCAATACTCGGTGTATTTCATGGAACTCAACGACGGGAAAATATCGCCTCGTTTTTATTCATCATGGTGTAGTTCGTTTCTTTCACAGACTGTGATTACAGTTGTGGATACATGTAGCTGAGCTCGAATAACGTGGGCA